GCTGGGCGGCCAGTGGTAGGGGCCGCGGGCGTCGCGCCGGGCCTTCCTGCGCAGCCGCTTCTGCTGCAGCAGCAGCTGCAGACGCTGCACCTTGCAACGCGTGGCCCGGTTTTCCGTCTGCCGCAGCCTGTCCCCTGCAGAGGAGGTAGCAACCCGTGACTTCCCGAGGCCCCCACTCCTCCGGGAGAGACCGGACCCCCTAACACGGAGGCTGCCCACCCCCGGCTCATGCCTCCATGGTCAAAGGGCCTGCCCTCCCAGACACGTGGGCGACTGAGGGAGCGTCCAGTGTCTACTGCGTCCTGGCACCCTCAATCGCCACTCCCTCATCTGCAAGTTTCGAGTTCAGGTCACTGAACAAATAAGCTGCAGTCTGAACCCTCTGGCTGTTCTGTGACCTGAGGAGAGGCACTGAGGCTTGTGCCTCAGTTTCCCGTTTTGATAAACCGGGCTGTGGAGGAGACCCAACAACAACCCGGGTGCCCACTGTGCAGAACAGACCATTGTCCCATCCTGCGTGACTCTGGATGGGGAGAAGCGGGCAGGTGTGGAATGGGGCGAGCTTCCTGACTTTCCTAAGTCCCTGCAGTGCTCAGTGAAGTGGGGGTGTCTCTGGCCCTGCCTCTGCCTGCCAGGCCTGACTTGGCCATTCATAGGGGCTCCAAATGCCATCTGGAGATGGTGCTGGGGGGCAAGGAGGAAGTGGGGATGGAGCCCCCTAGGGAGTGCACAAGGACACTTTGTGCCTGGACACACACATGCCTCCTTCTCTCCCGCTGGAGCAGTGGAAGGGCAGCTGCTGCACCCCTCCCCCTGCGCCTCCAGGCAGGTCAGCTGCTCCCGTGCCCACCAGCTCACACAGAGGGGCCTTGAGAAGCTGGCAGGCTGGGAGGGGACGGTGGGACCCTGGAGGGTGGCCACTCACCTGGGGGGGGCTTGCACATGCGGATCTGGCTCTGTAGCAGGGAGGCTGAGGGCACCAGCTTCTCGCAGGAGGTAGTTTTGGGGGTGAGGTCGGGGGCCGGTGAAGCGGGCGAGCACTGGGCATGGCAGCGGAGCTGGGTCAGCGAGGGGGGCATGCCCTGGTAATGCCGTGTGGCACTCAGGAGGTCGTTGAGGATCTGCAGGATGGTGCCGATGTCACGTCGCGGCCTCCCGCTGCTGTCCTGGCAGTTGGGGTGCAGTGTGCCTGCGGGTGGAGGGGACTGTGAGCACTTGGCATGCACAGGATCACGCGTGTGCACTCAGAGAGTGTATGTGACCGAGTGTGGTGGCGGGACACACACCCATATATGCGAACACGTGGCTTCACGTGTATGGTCATGTGTGTGTGTGGAGATTCCCAAAGAGGCTGCACACAGAGGATCATGGGTGTGTAACCACCCCTGGTGGACATGTGACCTCCAGTGCACAGGATCACGGGATGCACACAAGATCACTCGTGTATGGTAGGCACTGTAACACCTACCAGAGAAGGTCCCTGAGAAGACCCCTGGGGCGTGGTTTACAAAGCTCTCAATGACAGCGCCAGGTTTGCGGGAGCGGGGTGTAGGGCTGCCCCCTGGGGTGGATGTGGTGTTGGCACCAGGGCTGATGCTGTTGCTGGCTGGGGGAGAGCAATCCATCTGCTGACAGAGAGAAGAGGGCTGTGAGTCTGGAGTTCAGGCTCAGGGGACAGCCCACCAGCTCAGGGTCTAGAGATGGCGCATCAGACCAGTGCAGGAGCTCACCCACCACCTCAGGATCTAGAAAGAGCCCACTAGCCCCGGTTCTAGAAACAGCCAATCACGCCAGTTCAGCAGATCACCCATCAGCCCAGAATCTAGAGATAGTCCACGACTCCAAGGTGAAGTGACAGACTTTAATAGCAAGGGACACATCTGCGGTTCAGAGTCCTTGCCTTTTCAAAGTCTAGGGAACCCCTCAGGTTCCAAAGATAATCCTTCTCCACTTACCTCAGAGCAGGTGGTGGAGGCTGCATGGGATCGAAAGGAGCCGGCAGTGACAGGTGAAGGGGACGCAGGCGAAGGGCTGGTGGGCACCGGGGGGACGCGGGCAGCACTGGACACTGGCCGGCAGGGAGAAGACACAGGAGTGGCTATGCTGGGGTTCCCTCGGGCAGCGGCGGCTGCAGCTGCAGCAGCAGCCAGCACGTGGCGGTGCTGCAGTGGGGCATGCTGAGCAGCTAGCTGCAGCTGGACGAACATCATATGGTCACCCACTCGAAGTGCCAGGGTCAGCGGTGAGCGGCCGGACAAGAAATCACTGACCTGCAGAGAGAATGGCCCATCAGGCTGGGGCCCCAGCCTGCAGTGCCCCCAGCCCGGCCCGGCCCAGTCCCCCCAGCGCTGTGTGACCTGGGGCCTCTCGCCGCCCCTCTCTGGGCTCTGGGGTCCCTGTCGGTGCCACGGACGCTTAAATAAAATGAATCTGTATTTCCGGAAGCCTCCTCCGCCAGCCCGGCCCGGCCTGGGCGCCGCTGGGGGCTGTGGGGGACAGAGGCGGGTCAGACAGGGGCCTGGCCCTCCCTGGCCAACTCGGTTTTTATCAAGGGGAAACTGAGGCCAGAGGGGGCGGGGCCTAGCTGGCAGTCACTGTCCTCAAATAACCCTCACCTCACCTTTTCCCCACCCTCTTGGGCTCCTAAATCCCCTCTGCCTGTGGACATGGGAGGGGGACTGGTTTCAGGCCCCCTCCCAGCTAAGTCACCCAGTCAGCGAGTGGGTGGAATTCCTGGACAAATTCTTCCTTCCTAACCTTTGCTTTCTCAAGATAAATATTTATCTGTCCTGGGCGGGGCAGAGGCCAAGGGGGCGGCGTCCTTGCTGCAGGAAGGGGGCCCTGACCACGTCCCTGGGGCCCAAGTCCCCAGGGGCCTCAACATGCCCCAATGAACATGAATCCTCCAACCAGCCCCACTGCATGGTGGGCGGAGTGTATCTGACCCCGTCTGCACTGAGCCCCCACTCCGGGGCCTGGCCAGCGCCTTGTTCTCCCCAGGGGCCGGGATGGGGGGGCGGAGGTTTCTGAGAAGTGACATAGGCCGGGATGACTCAGAGCCGACCGCCTCCCAGCGCTCCCCCCCAGCTCTCCACTGGCAGCGGCTGGCGTAACCTTCTCTGCTTGGGGCCCGAGGGGAGGGGGCAAGCAGGCGGGTAGAGTGCAGCCCCCACCCTAAGACTGTCTACCCCCCACACCCCTGCCAGAGACACCCCTTGCAGAAAAAGGCCTGGGGTAGCTTCCTGAGAGCAGCTGGGCACCACCCCCCCAGCCCTCCCTGCAACTTCCTCCCTGAGGAGGGCGAATGGGCGGGCATGACTCGGTGCCAGGCAGGGAAGCAACCCTGGGGAGCCTAGTCACTCCGCCCAGAACCCCCCACCTCCCTCCTGACGCAGGCACCCCGGGGAGGATGTAAACCAAACACGCCCCGGGCCCCTATGCCAACCGCAGCCCCCTCCACCCCCTGCGACAGGGAGCTCTGTTCACACTCGCCCAGGAAATCACCTGCAGCCCCCACCCTGGCTCCTGGGACCCCTGGCTCTCCCCCTAGCCCGTCTGTGCAGACCACCCAGCAGCTCCTGTCCCCCACCTCCTCTGCACCACTTGGCGAGAGGACAGGATGATACACGCCGGGAAGGGGGCGAGGGCCCTGGGGCAGGAGGAAGGGAAGAAATCCGCCTCCAAAGCTGCTGAGCAGGTTTCCTGCGGCCAGGCTGGGGAGGCCCGGGAACCTGCCCACCCCTTCACCAGGGCGGGCAGCTGCCTGCTTCCCCCACCCTGGCAGCGGGCGGATTGCTGAAGCCTGTGTCACCCTCCTGGGAGGAGGCCAGGGCCCTTGTCTGACGAAGGCCCCGCCGCCAAAAAAATAGGGAAAGGAGGAGGGAGAAAAAAAAAAGCCGCAACAGGAAAGAAAAAAAGGAAAAAAAAAGGGAACCCGGGTTCCGGCCAACCCCAGCCCCGCTTCTGGCCGGTTACTAAATATTTTCCTAACATCCTGTCTAGGCCTCCCTGGCCCTAGAGCTGGGTGCCCCCATCCCCTCCCACTTTCGGGCCAGAGAACAAAGACCAGCGACAGGAGGGACGGGGTGGATAACGAGGTGACTCCCCACCCCCTCCCGATGGGGTCAGGGAAGGCGGAAGAACTGTCACCCAGGGTGACCCGTCCCTCCCCCACCCCCACCAGAGATCTCAAAATGGAGAAACTCAGGTTGCTGGGGGGTGGGGGCTTCACGCTGGAGGCATACAGGGCTAGGGACACAGGCCCTGGGTGTGTGTGTGTGTGGGCCAAGGTCACCCCGCAGGCAGGCTTGTGAAAGCTTGGCCCCCTTCCCCCCATGGCTGCCACCGTGGGAGAGAAAGCCCTCAAGGTCAGGTGGTGAGGGCTGGGGAGTGGGGGGGGGGAGGAAATCAGGGTGACCAGACCAAGCCAGCACCGGAGCGGCGCGTCCCCTCCCCCGTGGACCCCCTGGAAGCACACACAATCCGGCGGGCTCTCCAGGGCGGCCAGGGGAGGCGCCCTGACCCCGGGGGCTGCCCTGCCGTGGGTGCGGAAGGGGCGGGCGCAGGTCTTACCTGGGTCTCGGTCAAACTCTCGAGGGCCTGCATCACAGACTGTTCGGGCCTCGAGGCCTGAGACTACAAAGACACAAGTGGGGAGAAGGCGCCTGAGGGGGGGCTCGGCACCCCCGGGGCTGGCAGGGTGGTCGCTCGCTGGGGTGGGCGGCGGCCCTTGCAGGGGAGGGACCTGCCTGTGTGGGGGCCGGCCCGGGACAGCCATTTACCATGAGGCCCGCTTCCACGGTGGGCACCAGCGTCAGCTTGCTGCCATCCCCCACGCCAAACTCTTGCAGCTTCCCCGAACTGAGCCGGCTGGGGGGGGGGAGGAAGAGGGTGAGACTCTGCGGGGACCGGGACGGGGACGCGGAAGCGGGGGCCGCGGGGGAGCGACGCGCTCGCGGGGGCAGAGGCAGGAGCCGTTCCTGCCCCCGCCCCTCCCTGGCTGCCGGAGCCAGGGCCCTCCGAGGATGGGGACGGCTCTGTGTGGCCTTGGGAGCCCCGATCCCGGCAGCTTAGACCCTTTGCTCCCCAGGAACCCCAACTCTGGACTCGGGCACCCCTCTTCACCTGGGAGAGGCACTGCCTCAGCACCGGGGCACAGGGTGCCCTTGGCCCCCTCCCCCGCCCACCGAGGCCACCTCCTGTCTACAGCGCCCCAGCTCCAGCCCTGGGCTCCTCTGTGTAGGTGCCACGGGGTCTCGGCCCCGGGCTCCCCTCCTCCGTCTGTCCCTGGCGCAGGCCGCTGCCGCCGCCGCCGCTCAGACAAAGGAGACCCTCCCCCTCCCGCCCCTCCCCCACCGGGCCCCTCCGCTGGGGACGGACACTGCGTGTCCCCAGAGGCCCGCGGGGGAAGAACTCCCCGGCCTGGAGGCGATTTAAATACCAGGGGGGAGGGGAGGCCCCGGGGAGCGCCCGGTGGCGAGAACAAAGGGGGGCAGAGAGACGCAAGTGGGGGGGACA